CTGTTTGATTCAGCCTCCATGATTGCATGAGCCAAATTTATCCAATAAAATCGATAATGAAAGATAATTAGATCGATGCCTCTTATTTACATCTATTCCTAGATAAGGAATGCAAAATAGAAGGGTATGTTGTAATACGAAATGTCCGTATCAGTACTAATACCGATTCACAGTTGCAAACTTTGCGTTTATTATTACGTTTATTTCAATTGTTAGGACTATTCACAAAACTATAATAAACAATAATCTGCACGTATATTGGTCACAGAATATTTAATAATCTATTTATAATAACAAAGGTTATTCTGTCGATTGTTTCGATTAACAAAAACATTTGTTGTGAAATTAGTTATATTTATGAACCTATTTTTATTTTTTATCGAAAATAGAGCCTGAACGTACGAATCAAGTCAATCACAATTCAGTCGTAATCGTGGGCATAAACATCCGTTGGTATATTGACTACGCAAGCGTTACGAAAAGTAATCAATGGACCTAATGACAAGATGCATATCCGTGCATATGTTATCATTTCCCATGTTTATGCACTCGTGTCCAATAAGCTGTTAGCATCAAATAATGAAGAATTAATTCGTTAGATGACAGAATCAGGTTTAGCGCTTTTGTATACGTTCTAACAAAGAACGCGAACATCAAACTATGCAAACGAATGCAATGCTCCTCATTATGTAATAATGCTTATAACTGTAATACGTCAAGAAAACAGCCATCCATAACTCTGGCATACAGAAATATTTGGTGCGAGTCAAAGACTTTGCAAAATTTGACGGTAATGCAATAAATTATGCTGCGCGTGCAAATGTAAAAATTTGAACATTCCATATATTGTAATTCGCAATGTTGTAAAGTAAATACTGTAAGAGGTTATGCCATTATTCCAACGAGTATTGGTAAAACTCTATGTTGTTGCATGTCAAAACCTCTTCATCCTCAAGCGAGTTATGAAGTTTGTCACTGCAGTTAACGAGCATGTAATAATTACATCCAACCAACATTTCAAACATCAATGAACCAATGTTAAATTATTCGTTTACTTACCGAATATTACGTGGATGTGTACAAACAGACGTAAGTTCACCGGGGATATGTAACCTATTAACCATATGCAATGTAATTTAGGATTAGGGGGGAGGATACGTTGGACCAATGTTCAATAGAATTGTTTTTATCATTTTACCCTTCCTTTTCATACTTATGAAGTTGAAGAACCCTTGAAACTAGTATCCTTGAAACAAGGCTTAGTAACTTTACTTAACCGTACAATTAGCTAGTTTTTTTTCCTATTAACCCCCCGCCCCCAACGAAACGCTTTAACGGTTTCTTTTGTTATGAAACGATAACACGTTATTTAGGGACGGGTGAAGGATTTTCCGGATAATGGATAACTTATATCCTAATGCAATTGGTAAATGTTTGATTGGTTGACCTTTGCATTAATGACGGTTAGATAAGTGTATTATATAATTAAGGTCACGTGCGAAGAGAAATATAGGGGGAAAAAAATATTGGGTTGGTTGGGAGGGGAGGAGGATATATCGTTAAGATTAAATGAACCTAGTATCACTAAGGACAGATATTCCCCATTGACTACCATGACAGTTATCGCTCTATGATATGAAACATGTCAAACGATTGATTAATTAGATTAGATAAGTGTGTTACTTCGATGAATGCAATCGTTGTTATCGTCATTGTTATCATATATTATACTGACTAATCCACGTTCTCATATGACCATTTTGAATTATTCTGTGATTATGCTGTTTACGTGGTTTCCAAGAATATCGACCTCTAAAACTTCGCAATCTAATCTCTTCATGTTGACTATCATATCAATTGCCACGTGATGATAGATTATTCAAAGTGGAATTTAGTGTCTGATTGATCGTACGATCTAATAGGTATTACAGCATTATGTAATGCTTTTTTTCATGGAATGCCAAAATTGAATGTGGCTCATACGACATATAACCATGTATCAATATAAAATTTTTGTTTTTGTTGCATTATAATTACTGTCAACATTCAGGGTTATTTTTAGTTCATTATATGTAACGTCAAAGTCCTATCCATTCTGTCTATTTTCAAGTGGGTCTATGCATTCCAACAATTAGTCGATTACAAATTACCACCAAATTAATTGTTCTTTGTTCTGCACGTTGCACGGTGATCAAAAAGCGTGATGACATAAACAACATTTACAGCAGGGCATGGGAAATCCGTGGTTGGACAGGAGAAATGTTGCCACACTGAAAATCCTGATATCTTTGCAATTAAAGTTATTACACTGAGGAGAGAAAAAAAAAAAGCACAAACCACAAGCACATTTCTTCTACACTGTTATTACTTCTTCTTTTTGCGGATCGACGATCTATCGTTCTCCCTTGTTTGTACGACATGCATACAAAAATGGTGGCTGTACCTGCGCATGGTAATCCATGCAACGAGTCGTACTATATCACTCTCTGTTCTAGATAAGCGGAGTATGGCGAGGCCTGTCAGAACATGTTGTGGCGATGCTTCATTGACTTGTGCGCTTTAGACAAAGACTTGGGAAAGCCGATGGCAACACAATTGTTGACTGTAGAATATTGGTTCTATTTTTGTTTAGCTAAAAATATATCCGCTAAAAATTCTCGATAAGCACCAACCGCAATAAAAATGATATACTGCATATGTCGGATTATTGTTTGTATACAAACAATGCTAAATGATAGAGATGCAGAGCAGTTATAGTTGTGATTGTAAAATCTAGATTGAACACATTAATAGTAATTTGTATAGTACGTCGGATGATATCTTGCATTTGTTTATATTAGTTTTAATCTGTTTATCGTTGCAGGTCTGATATTGGAAATTCGTAAAGAAACAAACAAGCAGAGAATCTCATCTCTTTTTCTTTTGCATTCTGGTTATTTTCACCTTGCTGCTTTATTGTTCGACCGGCCCGAGTTTCCGAATTCCCCGAGGTGATGTCTTGTTGATGGAACGTAACACGACAACATATTTTTAATGGTTTAGGCTGCGTAAACGCTAAGGGTATGTTAGGAATGCCAGTTATGGTTAATTTTTCCGACACTACAGTGCAACGTATCACATCTTTACCAGGTGATGAAGGATGTCATCATGTTTGTTCTTGGCATGCGAAGTAAAAAAGTACGCATAAAAAGCAGAGTGAATGGTATTGGTCAAAGCAACATATGTAAGTCTCGCGCCACTATCATGTAAAAAAGATTACGTTATGGCAGTTTGATCTGCGTTAATAGACATGGAACGTTTATTAGACGCAATGCAGGCAACAATTAGTTAATAAAGAAACAAAAGAGTAACGTCAAATAAAGGGGTAAACAATAAACTCTATAACAATGTATGTATCTTGTCGATGGATCAATAAACAGTTTGGTATGTCGTGGGCCAGAAGCTTGACGGAATCTGTGACACTGTCGCTAATGACTTTTTTTTTATTTTTCAAAACTAATACATTACATAACTTCTTGAACAACGCGATGTTATATGACCATATTACACAAAATAGAATATGAAACAACGCAGAGCGAGCGTAAACTTTATGTTTAATAATATAACATTTATTTTATTATACTGTAAGTTTACTCCGGGTATGCGTTGAACTTTGATTTTTCTTTCTTGGTCAATATCCGAGTTAATAAACTCACATAGTTTGTTGATAATCAATTGGGGCGTTCCCAACAATCTATCATATAGGGAAGGGGAAATAATTCTCCCACGATGAATATTGATTTCCAAAAAGTCCGTTTCTTGGCAAGCGAATATGGAAAGAAAACGATGCCAGTATCAATTAAGTCAAAACTATCGGGACAATGAGAGAGAACAAAATTGAAGGAAAAAGCCCAAAGTTCAGTCAACATAAACCATAGAGTACAACAGTGGTTTAGTTTAAATTTAACGCGGTGCGGTTACTTAGAATTGCCGGTTTCGCTGATCATGGGGTGTGCGTAGTTCAGCAAAAAAAACTTGTCATATTAGCTTAAACTTGAAGTTCTTGGCACCAATATCTGCTTTGGTTTTCTTGTTGATATTCAGGAGAAGCGTATTTGTATAGCCTATGAGATTTAATTACAAGCTAATTTGTTGCAATAGACATCGCATCTATTATATTTGTCTATAAACTTATAGTAAAAATCGCCACGTCTCTACAATCATTGGTATTTTCTATTTATTTATTATGCAGTCGATGTTACACGCCCATTCTCTAGAATAACTCAAGTTTTGGTGGTACTTCCAAGTATAGTGAATTTGGTCATTGTCGATGATGATACGACGCTCTCTTTTAGGATTGCATCAAAATACCTTGTAAATATTGTTACCCATTTAAATCATAGTCGAACGATTCGGAAATGCAACAAGACTGGGCCTCTGTCACAAGAAGACCCAATACATGAGATGGTTCAATCTAATTTTTCCGCTTGTTATACCGGCACGTGTTCGATGGAAACTTTAGCAGTGTTATTAATAAGTTACTAAAAATGCAATCGAACACCTGCAAAAAGCACAAAAAGCAATTCATCACTTATTAAGTGGCAATTTATACAAGGCAACGTGATATCATAAAGTTAATAAAAAGCGGATGTTATACAATTAACGTACCCTAATGGTTGCTCCTTTGTGACACAAGACAATTTATAAAAAGGTGGGTCTATCTTGCCTTTTGTCCAAAAAAAAAACCCAAACGCTTCTTCCTTTTTCCCCTGCTTTTCGCTATTCCTGCTTAAACAATTCGGTCGGGACTGGTATCCCCCTATGTAGTTATAATTACTTTGAAATCTCTGTAATTTACATTATTTTTGTTATATAAAACGAATAAAAAAAGAGAGAGAGAGCTATACAAACACCTGTTTTTTGTATCCAACCCGGCTCACCCACACCAGGATTAATTTGATATTCGTGCTTTTTTACTCACCTCTTTTATCGTCACTTCAAAGATTCAGACAAAACAAACAATGGCCACTTCAGCTACAACAACGACACAATCAACGACCTCAACACAATCGATTATGCTATCAGCACATCCGCTATCAACCCTCAGAAGGAAACTCCCCAATGAGAGTCTGGACAACAAAATAATGATCAAAATAACATCCGAAGAAGAAAGTATAAATGGATCAAACGTTGTCGACACAAATAGCTGCAAAGGAGACAAACCCGAAGAACCTTCTCAACAACCACAGCCGCCGCAACGAAAGAGGCCGGGCCGCAAGCCGAACCCAGCTTCACCAGCATTACGGAAAGCTCAAAACAGAGCCGCACAACGTGCGTTCCGTGAGCGCAAAGAAAGACATTTGTGTGATTTGGAAAATACTATCAAGGCGCTCCGTGAAAGTCAATACGAGTCATCGATTGAATACCAAAAAGAAATCCAGCGTCACCGCTCGTTGATCGAGTCACTCGAGACAGAACTCTTTTACCACAAAAAACTCGCGTTAGCCTTCGAGTTTGCTTTAAATAGTATGAACGGGAACACCGATGCGACCACCAAAATCAAGAGTTCGATCCAGATGCAACTTCCTGGACCAGCCCTTCTTCACGGCATGGCAACAATGACTAACAGCGCAATGTACAATCTCGCACAATCCAATTCAAACTCTTCCTATAGCGTAGCACACCAGCAAATACAAGCAGATACGATCAATATGCTACCTTCTCCCTCTAATAGTTCTGCACTTCTCTCACCGATAAGCACGCCCCCGACTCCGCCTGTTTTAGGTGTAGCTGAATTTGGCACGCCCACTCATCTTACGCTCGGAGAGGGTCATGGTGGAGAATTCGAAGTACCGGATGCTAAAACGATTAGTCAAACGTTACAGGCTGCTGATGGGTTTAATTCGGTCATCATATCCAAACCTTCCTACCCGGCTGCGAGCCCAGTGGATGGGAACACTGGAATGATATTCTACAATGGCATGTTTCATTCAAATTATACGGCAATGCTTGAGGATCCTCAGAACATTTACAACTCGTCAGCTTCACTTCAGCTTCTTCAGTAGTTGACGCTTGCTTACAAAAAAAAAGGGGGGATTATAATGGAACGGATGATGGGATCTGAGTTGGACCTCTGGAAACCCCTCCCGTGTACAATGCTATAATCATTGGCTCAACCATAAATCGCAATAACAGTCTTCTCTATTTTCTACAAAAAGTGAGAGATCTGGGGCGAAAGGAAAAATCATTTGTGTATAAAAGAAATAAACTTTTTTTTTTATTTGGGGGATTCAAAAGATGGTACAATTGTCGGGAACTCTTGGTAGTAATTTTTAGGGGGGGTGGAAAGAGGGAAAAAGAGAGGAAGGGCGGAGATTACCCAAACTTTTACTTTTGAAACTATAGGATAGTAAAATACAGAATATAGTGACAAAGGGCTATTATCGAATCTTTGGAGAAAACTTAAAAGACATTTTTTTATACGGGGAGCGATGTGCAATGTAATATATACAAGATTGGTTTCAGTTATTTGTTTGATAATTGATATATTCAACTTGGGTGCTCGCAGGTAGAATGCTATTATACCCTCACACTACGCGCTCTCCCCTTTTGTATTATTTATCCATCATAGACATATTATATTTCTCCATCATATTTTTCTTCCATTACAAATTATTATTATTATTATCCTTATTGGACTTGTATTCTTATATATTTTTTTCTCTTTTACACGATAGATGGAAGAAATTGGACCAAAGACAATTATACATAATATACACACATTCTTATCGACATTACTTTCACATATGTATTAATTCATCAAACTTATCATACATTACTCGAATCGATTCTACAAGGGAATTATTGGAGGACTTTATTTTATTGGTAGTACATCACTCGAGTAAGATGAAGGGAGAGGAGAGTTGTGTGTATTAGAAACAACAAAGACATTACTTATCCCTCTTTACACACATCTCCCGCCCACTGTTGTCGAATGCCAAGACGAATAGCATCATCGCTCGTATATTATACATACGAATAAGGCATTCTTGATATTCAACAGGTTTTTTTTGTCACAAATATATTATATTTTATTTTATCATATTCTCTCTGGGATTGCATATTTCTATTATATACATCATTATTTATTTATTTATTTTTATTTATTATTCTCGCTGGTAACCAATACCATTTTCCAATATCTTTTCTTTGTTAATATTTTATTCTTCAATGGAAACAAACATCGAATTTTTTTATTAAAAGTATATAAAAAAAAGGTTGTTTATCGCTCTAGTTAGCGAAATGCACCAAATGAATGTTGAATGTAATTCGTTGTATGACGAATATTATCATTGATGCGAGGGTAAAAGTATCAGCCATCTATCATGATCGTACAGTCCTTATTAGTCCTCATTGTTTATGAATCTCGATACAACAAATGTCTCTCTTTTGTCTTTTTTTCTTTTTCGACCACGTACTATTTAATTTATACTTCTCAATCTATTGTGTTATAAACCAATTAATTAACCACACGCACTCCTTATACCGCACATATACTACACATACACATACGGATTAATTGCGCCCGTTCAATGAAAACAACTTTCGGTATCGTCATAATAAATCGCGATCGTCATAGAGAATGCATATCCAACTAATTTATTGCGGCGTATTCTTCTTGTGTGTAATCGAAACAATAGGATTAAACTACAAATAAGATTTCTCTCGGACACCCACCGGGGTTTTCCGTCAAACTTTGTAGACTGTGCTTCTAACCATATTAGGATATGCTTTTTATGATTAACTATTTAAGGAAACCAGAGACAAATCAAATTCCCGCTGATGCGTAACGAAGGAAACATGAGTGAAACTGTAACATAATTCTGCTAACCATTATAAGGCTTGGATGGATAAACGACGGATGATGGTCGCTCACACAACCGCTATCTATTGTTGCGCCAACAATCCTTAAGATTTTTATTTCGGGGTTTGCTTACCGTGCGCAATCTGCGTTTTAGCAGTGCCATCAAACTGCGCTCAGAATGCGATTAATTGTATACAATGATGCAAGAACCTTGTGCTAACGAAACCGTATTTCATTGGATGGGTGTGATTATTTTATTTGACTCGGAATTTCCTGATTGGATAATGTTTCATCGGCCGATAAACAATGCTTGCTGGTAAAACCAAAGCAACACCTTTCATGCAGAAAATCGCCAGACATGCTGCGTAGATACTGCGTGGAATAATCAAATATTTGTTTCTGTTGAAAAGCTTCATACATTGCTATCCAATTAATAAATAAAACCTGTTTTGTGATCAAATTGTTCGGTGATATCTTTATTAATGGTGGCTGGTTCCATGCATTCTCATTTATGTATAACGTAAAAAAATTTCTTTGTTTCGAACCAATTTTTAGTAAAAAATGAGCGTGAACCTAATAACCTGACTGTTACAGTAATAATAATAACGTAATGCGGGATATACGTATTAGTATGATGATGCATATTTTAAATCAATATATCGTTCATATAGACTTTTTTTAAAGTTGTCCCAATAATAAGAAGAATTGCGTCATTATAATTTAACTTTAACATAAAAGTGTAAAGGGGCCAATAAAAAATATATATTGTACGAATACATAAATACATAAATACATAAATATATAAAGTTTTTTTTTTCCTCTTTTTTAATTAAATTGAACAACTGTTACAAACCTATTTCTCCTGACATTTTGGGCACCATTTATCATATGGTTTGGTTTAATATTTCTGAGAAAACTCGTATCGAATATCCAAACATGTCCTTTTACCATTACTGATAAATGTGTAGCAGCAAGATCGATTGGACAATTTGGTAGCACGATGTTTGTGCTCGCACTTTTTATGGCAACAGATGATAACTAAGGTTAAGATAAATAAATGCATTTATTGTTAATTGGGCGAGTTTACTTTTTCGATTACGACCAATACCGATGCGGGTAGTATACGTCCAGCCGATTCTCTTTTTAGACGCCTGGAACTTTTGCCAATCGGGTCACCAAAAGCTTTGTCGTAATGGAAATGCTTGCAGCAGTAATAACGTTCTTTTCTTAGAATTGCAAGTTCCTATGACATAATATGGCAGAAACTCTCCGTACGGAAAAAATTTTTTCTCCGGAATAAAGATGTTCCGACGTTCATGTTCGAAATTTCTGATCGTTACTTGGTGGCAATTGCTTTGGGCTTCTACTGAGCCTCACTTCTCAGCATGGGGCACAAGTTAATCATCCGATTCATATAGTATTTTTCTGGTATTACCGACAACTTTATCGTAATCATTTTCCTTTTCCAGAACGTTATATACAACGTATTATTTGATCGTGATATGTCCGGTATCCGATTTGTGTATTTTCATGTTTGTTAATCGAGTGATTGGAACAGAGAATCGCCAATAGAAATTTTAAAGCAATTATGGTAAATGCGAATTCCGTTATCCATATAATCAAACATCCATTTGGTTGGTACATGCAGCAGGGGTAATACCATAAACTTTCTTTTTAGATGTTAACAGTTAACCTCTAAACACATTATCTCGGATATACCATTTATTCATTTTCACATGACCTACGTTTATTGACCCCTCTTTGGATTATCAAGCTTCGACTATAAATTATGGGGATTTTTATATATGTTCATTATATTGAGATCTGTAAACGCAGCCGCCATCACATAGTAATAGACCTTACACCTATAAACTTTGTATTTCATTGTTGAAACGTGTTTGGCCATTGCATAATAACCGAACGTAAAACGAGGGCCACCATTTTTAGTATTTGGATGCATATTGAGAACATTCGAACTTTATTTTTAAGGTGATGCTTAACACTTTTTTGGATATCGCGACTTTGTTTTGATTAATTAAGGACGCATAGGTTTTAAATTTGTGATACTTGCAAACAGTGGGTCACGTCATATTCAGTTCTCTCTCTGTTACTATGACCACCCAACATGGAAGCACAAAACTACATTTATCTTCAATGCTCTGCGTAAAATATCACCCTTCTTTGTTTGGATTGATGTTAAGCACTGATTTGTTACATATTTTAAAACCCACATCACCAATAATGGAACAGCAAACGCTTGGTCATGCATTGAATGCTGTGATACCAGATTATTGGCAAGAAGAATTTCGTTCTAGCCTTTTCAGAAAGAAAAAAAAAGTTTAACTGTTATCTGCATGGCATCTATCAAAGTTTATCACTAAATCAAGAAAACCATATCGAATTTATATTGTGATACATATTAATATTCATATATAACCGGAAATTTTAAAGGTACCGAATATTCGATTGTACAGTACAAACGCGTATGTAATGAATGCATCGAGGTTAAGTTTCTTATTACATTGACCCATATCACAGCAAGAAACTACGGTAAAAATATTGCCTCGGACGATAAAGAATCGAGGATAAGTCCAACGTCTCTGTCGATGATGATAAAGTTTTTGGCAAAAACACTGAAACTGTTCTAATATTAATAGCTTAGTGGACAATCAAATGAAAAGATCCTGTCTCAATATTTGAATACTAAATTATTACAACCTATGTGACATTAAGTCAGTCTACATAAAGGGTTGGGGAGGAGGCTGATGTTAACTACTATACGTGTATTATATGTCTAGGCATTTTCTACTCCAAATTTTCATCTCTGATGCAATAAAGGCTTAGAATACGGCCTCTCTTTTCGCTTGCAACCAATTCTAAAAAATTTTCGAGTCGGGAACATATCCAATTGTTATATGCCTGTGTACCGTAAAATCCACTTTATTATTAATCGATTCGTTGCTAAGAGAAATCTCGAATCTGCCCGTTTGTAATAAATCTCGTTATTGACGTTATTGGGCTCGCACGTGTCATTCGCACATTTGTCGTCATGTGAATTTTAGAAAACCGCGTCTAGTTAAAGCAGACACGCAGTGATATCGTTCTTGTGATTTAGAAAACAGCGTGTACGGTGATTGCTTCAAAGCCAGATTTCTCTGGTAAATGTTACGTACATTACCGACTGAAACATTTCACTAGAACGTATACAGTTAAATGACAAACACAAACACGTATCTGGCTTGGATGTTTGCAGTTTCTCAACACATTTTCACGCGATTAAAGTTCATTCATTCCCAAACTCATTCTTTTCAAAAGGCCGAAACCTATGTACCATTTGTTTGCTAATAATATAATGTTTGAAGAAATCGTCCTCACAGTCGAAAAGAATTTATTTGTCCGCGAATCACAATCGCGATTCTTACAATAAATAAATAATAAATAAATAATAAAGATTTACACTTTGAGCGCGTATACTTCTTGCACATATACATCTTCTACAATGGGACCAATGGGATGTTATTGGCTTCACAAAATGTTCTGGCTGTACCATTACCGACTTTAACGGCCTTTCTGAGATAAAGCGTTCCCATATTCACATCCTTCGCAACGCCTCTCGCTCCTAAATAATGTAATTTTCCCAGCAGAAAAAGACCGGTTGAGCTATTTCTTTTAGCAGCCTTTTGAAGATATTCGATAGCTTCGTTATGATTTTGTTCCACGCCGACCCCATCTAACAAACAAGCTCCGTATCTGCCTTGTGCTTCAGGAATTTCATCACTTGCTTCATTAAACGCCATTGCAGCCTTTTTAAATCTTTCCTTCTCCTCTTCGGGTGTCTCGCTCGTTCCAGACTCTCTATCATATCTATAATGATACAAATAATATCCGTAATAATATTTGGCAAGAGCATCACCGGCTTCGGCGTGTGTCTTGAATACTTGAAATGCTTTTCGACGATCGCCTCTATCCCGTAGTTTATGTTCCGCGATAGCTTGTTCTACCGTCCAAATGGATGTTGCTGCGTTCATTTCATTTATCATGGCTACGTCTACTTCGTTTGATACGAGCATAGAAGCGGGAGGGTCTGCGAATTTCATGTTCTCACACATGTCAAAGAAGGTCGTGAACAGTTGACTCAACATAGGGCGCATGGTTGGAATATAGTGGGCAGCTTACGAGTCGAAAAAAAAAAAAAAGAGTAACAGGTAAGTAAAAAATTACGCGTATTATCAACATCAACGTATGAAGAATGCATCTATTTGTTTTACAGACGCGACGCAGAGCCCTTTTACGCTGCTATGGTAATTAACATGATTCTTTTTTGATAAAAAGACGTGCGGCAATCAATTTTACCTTCAAGAGTAGCTTTTTCCCATTTAGAAGGAGTATCCTGTCTAAATGTAAGTGAGATGTTTCCTTTTTGCAGTAACCCACCTAATTCCAGAGGGTCATTATATTCGGAGAACGGTAATTTACATTCTCCAATTTCCCAAAGAAGTATTCCGAGGCTAATTAATAAAATCATCCCCCAATTAGTATCAATTATAATACATCATCTCGTTTCCTTTTGATGTCCAATAACAAAATACCTGTATATCTCACATTTCTCATCGTATTGTGGCTGGATTTCTGTTGTTGTAGGTATCTTCTCAGGGGCCAAATAGCGTAAATATTGTAATGTGTCGTTTATGGGGACGCTTACATCGTCTTGATCTCGACTAAGAACAGTCAGTACATACGGTTATTCAACAAGCATTCGCATTTGTTCATTCATACGAGAGACATTTCAAGAAAAAACTCGTCAATTATGTCCTTTTCGTTTTCTTGTCGACACATACCTGTACTCAAAATTCGTGATTTTGGCCGTATACCCCCTTGTAATTATTACATTAGTCGATGAGATTTGATGATGGAAGATCGATATCGAGTGCAAGAAAGTCAACCCTCTAATAACGTCCACGGCAATTTCTGCTTTTACTTTCCACGTAAACGCATCCGGATTGTTCGTGTATGCTTCGACCAACGTTCCATATTCCGGCCACTCAGTAACAAGAAAATACACTTCTTCTTTCTTTATTACTTCTTCTTTCTTTATTAGCCCATGAAACGCAACAATGTTTTTAGCAAATTTCATCTGCTGGTATATAAATGTTCGGATCATCAAGTCTCTTTTGAATTTCTCATCATCTTTTGGCGCTGTTAGCCAACGTTTCAGTGCGACAACCTCTTTCGTTCCATTGGAGGTACGATACGCTTTGCAATACTCGCCCCTTCCATCTCCATTTAACTGTTGGATTTGTTTAGCGGAAATCATAACCTTTCCCTCCACATCGTCCAACCGTAATGTCTGTTCACGGTACTTTTTATATGTCATATTGATTTCGTTAAACGCCTCCTTGCCTACGGCAAGCCGATCTCCATGGATATTTTCTAGATACTAACCAAAGGGGAAAAATTGGATTTAGTGGAAAAAAGGTTATGGTAAGACTGGATTTGCAGTCCCAGGATTGCGTTAAAAATAAAATGAGACATACGGTCTTCAGGTCCTTTATATCATTTTGGATGGCATCCATCTCGCAATGGCTTTGGACGCTTATTGAAAAATTTAGTATACTTATACGGCCATCAAACTCTTCCGTGAGTTCCTTGAATCTATCTTTAATGTCACTTGCATGCAGCATTTTCTTAAACACTGATAATTAAAGAAATAGTATTTAATAAACATGCTGTAAGCGAGACATCATCGTTATCCGGTAGAATGAGGTACTTACGTGAAAATCGCGAAAATTCCTTAACAAAATCCCTGATTTTTTCAACAACTGCCACCAATCCTTCAAAATTGTCTAAAAACTCTTTTGACTTGCATTGCGACTTGAATTCATTTGCTCTTGCCACAAAAATTTCTACGGCGGTCTTTGCCAATGCAGCTCGTTGTAGCAGAAAACCACAGGTGCGCCTATTATGGTGAGCATTTTCATACAGGTCTATAATTTCCTTGGAAAGCGCAAAGATACTACTGATCAACGGCAGAAATGGTGCAAGGGTTCCAGAGGCTTTAGAAGCAAAAGATGATACTGTGCCGGCGGCGCCAATTATCGAAACCGTCGTATTGAACGCGATTTCGCTATCTTTAACCACTGTCCGAGTCGCCATGCGTATACAAGTCGATATGATTGTTTTTTTATACTGGTGCTAGCATTTTTGTCACTATATTTGGTGTGTGAATGAGCATCGCTACACAAATACTAATACGGGTGCTATACCAACAAAGACCGGAGGCATTCTTCCGGTGTGTATCGTACCAGACGGTGTAGTACCACGAGGATTATGAATCAAGGCAATGAAAATAAACTCATTCCTTCACAAGTACTTTGATTTCTGGTTTCTGCATGATATATAATATAATATTATACAATAGAATTATACCTGAAAGAGAAAGCTCTTCGATCAATAATCTGCTCATTGTCAAAGTTCCAACTATCGTATCTATGAATGTATGATACTCCGAATTAGGAATAATATGTTTTTCTTGTTAGTGGGAACGAGTAGTACGTATACTGCACGATGTCATCACAATCCGGACATTCTAAAATAATTCTTCGAGTCATACACATTCTGGGTTTGATCCCTCCGGACCTTTTAGACTTTTACAGTCACTATTGGGATTCAACAATCGGCTCCTTCCATTGGGAACGATGCAGGTGAGCTTATAAAGAAGTTGTGACTATATTAGAGTTTTTTCTCCTACAAGTTCGATAGTAATTGGTTCTCAAACCGTTTCTAATTCGGGACAGGCACAAACGCTTTGAAAATTTCTCTGCATATAGAATAACAAACCCTGATGTTTCGGATCGATCGGACGTCTCCAGCAATTTTACAAACATCATGTTTATCTTCACATGTTTCTAATCGTGCTCTACTATTTGCACAGCAATTCGTTCAACAATCATGCTGATGGTATAAGAAAACCAGGGTTTGTTATACCCCAAGTGCAGGGAAGCGTTTATTAATCATGTCCCGTACTACAAACGATAGGATACTTTTGCACGTTACTTATAACGAAATGTCGCAAGGCTTTTGTAATAAAATTTTGTTCACTTCCCAAAATAGGAAAATTTTTTGCTTGATGCAGATTTCGTGCTAAGGGAAAGACTAGCCACTGAGATTATGAATGCAAATTTTATGTTGGAATATTGCGTCAGAAAATGCGGAGAATGCTTGGCAGACGATGGAGATTCCAGCAAGATAACGACCCAAAGCATACAAGTCGAATTGCTGAAACGTTGACATTTTCCGATGGCCGGCCAACAGCCCGGATCTTAAATCATGCAGAAAATCTATAGATTATCGTCAAACAAGCGTATTCCAACACATAATAACGAGTTAGACCACTTGGTAGAAGAATGTTGAGCTCGATTGGCAAATCGTTTCTTAACAATAATGTCCAACTCAAAATAGGCCATCCAACAGTCAAGTTCTAAATCCAATTGAAAAGCTTTGGAATATTGTTAATATATTATTAATTAAATCTACGTGTCTTGGCGTTTCAAATGAGCTGTTTTACATTCACTGGTTGTTCTAACTGTGTCAAATATTTTTTTTGTTTACACACTGTATATCGTTATTTTTTTTTTTTTTTTTGAGAATAAAGTTACAACTTACATGATAACAACACACTAATACACGTATCAGTTAGATAACATCCCTGTGTAACGTGTTTTTTTGCCAACGTTATGTGTTTTTATATTTCTCTTTAAAAAGATGAGCCCACCACAGAAGGAATAATAAGTACTCATCCAAAAATTTGTATAAAACAGCCTTTTCATAGAGTGTAGGTTATATCAATTCACATGCAGTCGATTCTCACATTAATTTTATCTGGTACTGTACAAATTGCCTGAGAGTTGACACTTAAGACCCGGTCTAATAATTTGCAATCGGTTAATGCTGGTTTTAATGTCTGATAAACAGACCTTATTTCGCTTTTGTTTTTTCCCGATGTTGGTTGCGAGGCTTCTCATTAGAACCTATGACATGAAGACTTTTGGTAGGTAGTGTTACGTCGCGTCAGGAAATTATATACACTGTAAGTAGCTCATATTCCATCCTCAAAAGCTCGTGCTTGATACGTTGAAATATTTATCCACGGACTGTTAATTAAACGACCTTTGAAATTAATTTTCGTTGAAACATTAATCAACCGGATATATACTTATGAATGGTTCACTTAAAGTTGTAAAGTTAACATATAAACGGCTTATTTGAAGCTGTAAAATATTTACTAATCAGTAATGCGCGGGAAACGAGCGTCTATAATTAATATAATATAGTAAACAATTGTGTAATCAGTTTAAGTAAGACAAGTAACATTTAATCCAATTAGTCGAAATACCAATCGTCCTATTTAAACCAGAACTAGTATGCGAGTTTCATAGACCATTTGACTTCCCTAAAACTTACCTCATCCACCTGCCCCTCCGCTCCCAACTCGACATGGAAATTGCCGCAATTTCTTCACTAGTAAGTCACATTCTGTCTTCATTTACACAAAATGGTGGTAAAAAAATAGGGAAAATTCTAGCGCACTACTCAATACTCTTTCTCTATATTGCCGCAGCAGCTCTCTCAACTTTTCGTCACTCTATCGCCCCAGGTATGAGATATATCGGCGCATAACTCGGTCGATAGAACGACCCGCTTCCTGTGCA